GCAAGAGGTCATACATGCCATTTGCCTTTTTGTATTGCACAAGAACTATTCTGGGTATTATGACAGCTCTTCATAGTTCAAGAGCTTTTTGGTGATGAAGCCCACACATTGAGCCAGAATTTTAAGGTCCCCACTCAGTGCTGAAGAACTTTTGGAAATGAACTTCTAGGCTCCTCCAGAAATACTCTGATTGCATGCAGCAGAACTATTTCTGTGGATGGAATCAGTAAATGGAGAGAATCATGGCATTCGCTTCAAGATGGCACATTTCCCCCAAGCCATGACACAAATGTAAACACAGGGGATTATTGTCCCACTCAGAAGTGCAATCCACATCAGTTGATGGGTGTGTAGCCTCTGCCTTCACTCAGGATTATGTTTGACCCCGTGTCTTCAGCCACCTCCACTCAGCATTTCCTTCTTTCCCTTACAAGCTCTTGAAAGACTAATCCTAATCACCAACATGGCTGGCAAAAACTCTGTTTGGTTTATTAGATATTTAATGGATCACAGTTTTTGTAAATAAACAGGTAGAAGGAAACAAAATACCTCTTGCATTTTGGAACCACAGAGGTTTGAAGACTCTTGCATGTGTGGGCATGGAAAGAAAAGAGATGGTCAGCATAATTCCCATTCCATTTTTTTTTTTTTTAGTCCTTTATCAGGAAACTTGCCATCATCATACTCTACACGCAAGCAAATTTGGTCTGTTGTCAGGAAAAGAATGAAGATGAGAGAGGAGTCCTGCCAGCGGGAATTTCTCAGCGCTGGTTTCCTGCATAGCAGTCAGCTTTTTTTATAAATAGAACCTCATTTCATGCAATGATATAATATTAATCTGTCACCCTATTTGGCACAACCATAGGATCATTAACTACTTGTTTGCTAATTACCATTTGAGCTGATGCACAGAGCACAGGCTGTGATAATATTAGCTTGGTCAGAGTCACAAGTCTGTCAGTGCCAGTGTCTGCTTCCAATCTCTGAAAGTGTTGTATCTGCATCCTTTCATCCCACGAGGTAAAAATCCTGGGCACTCTTTCCTAGTATGAATAATTTGTCTTGTCACTCACAGCCCTAGAGGAAAACCATGTGACAGTTCCTCTTAGCTATTCACACAAGAAAAAACTTTAAGAAGAAAAGCAAATATATAAGGCATGTTTAACTACTATTTATTAATCATTTTTTAAATTTTGAAAAGCTTCACCAAACTCCAATATGTAGGAGAAAGCAACTGTTTGAGTGGTGAGGCTCTGGAAGAGGTTGCCCAGAGAACTTACAGAGATCATCCCTGGAAATGTTTAAGGCTGGATTGGATGGGGCTCTGAGTAACACAGTGGGTGAACTAGATGGTCTTTGAAGTCCCTTCCAACACAAGTGAGTCACTTTGTCATCACAGGAGAGGAAGAAATGGAGGAAACCCAGGGCCACCCTTACAAAGACAATAATCCTGCTAGGAGCTTTCTCAAACAACCAAAGGGAAAACAATGTGGATATGATTCTTGTAAGTTTTATAGTTGCCCAAAAGGTTCAGAATGGTATCAGTGACACTAGTCAGTTGTTTATCAATTCCCCCCCTGCTGCATATCATGAAGGCCTTTGGTTAGCTACAGAGGTCCTAGGCTGGGCTGTCTGTCAGGAAGGTGGTGCTGACCTGATGTATCTAGATCACACACAGAAGGCTGCATTCAACCAGTATCAATTTAACTTTTTTCTTACTTGAGTCAAAGTCTGTAGGAGCTGATGATTTAAGGGTTTTCATTTAGTCAGTGAACTTTTCAATTCTAAAACTTTCTGAATTCACTAGAGCACTATTACTACTTAGTAGTAAAAGAGTAGTAGCTTTTGTTACATTTCCATTTCAGTAACATTGCCATTGCAGACAGTGGAAGTTAGACAAAGATATGGGACCCATGTCAGTGTTATAAAATCATCTCTTAGCAATTCCACTGAAATTGCTTTAAATTATTTCCATTTTACAAATTTGTATAAAACTGAAAGTAATTTCCTTTTAGAGAAAAGTCTTCTAATCCTCTGTAGGAGAATTTAAATGTAAAAATTTCTAGCAATGCGAAGTAAATCTGTAGGTGGATTTCATATCTGTCTTTTCAATCTTGTAGCTGAAAAAAGAGTCATTACCTGTTTGCATTATTGAGCAAGTCTGTATTCTTAAAGGCGTTCAGTGCAAAATATTCCCTCAACAAATAAGGACTCAGGGTTGACTAATCTTACTTATGTTACCCTCTACAGGTAAGGTATGATTCCTGCACCTGAAGATGTTGCCTAAGAAGTCATCTAGTAGAAAGCATCTTAAATGTATAGGAAAAAGAGAAAATAATAATAACTCCTCCTTGATGTCTGTCTTTATGCAAAAGAATCTAGTAGAGAAAATAATAATAACCCCTCCTCGATGTCTGTCTTTATGCAAAAGGATCTAGTCCAGACACCATTTACCTGTGTGTCTTATCACCAAGAGAAGTCCAACTGCAACCAACAGAATGACTCCAGAAATTTAAGCAAGTATATCAAAGAATGCAGGAACAGAATTCAGGACAGATGAGTTAATTGGAAATCTGAGGAACACAGCTAGGAAGCCGTACGCTGAATTCCTGAGATAAGGGTCCATTTTTTTAATTGCTTATGCATAAAAGAACAAAGTTAAATTACTTTTAGAAAGTACTAAAAATGTTTCTGATTTGCTGTGTAATAAAAAACGACAGAGATGTTGGGTATTTGCTAATTATTCATGCACAATTAGCAGAAAAATTCCATATCTATTGATTATTAACTGAGCATTAAGCTTTCTCACATGTTGATGATTAATAAAAGTAAACTGGCTTTGGTACTTGCTATTACATAGTAAATGAAACTTTGTCAACAGTTAGCTGGGTAAACATGGACATTTTCATGAACACAGGAAGTTTGCAGATTTGCTGCATCATTTGAGTGGAGTTCCTTGCAAGTATAAGGGAAACTAAAGTGTGAGGGCAACTCCACTTTCTGGACGTGTGTGTAACCAGCTCAAGAAAAAAAATTATTTTACTGTTTGTCTCTAAGGTCTTTGAAAGATCTTATGTAATAGCGTAAATGAGTTAAGGCAGGCAATAAGTAATTTATAATTTGTCCAACCTGCATGTTCTGAGTAGATTGGTCATTATCTAATCACCCATGTTTCTAAGCCTAATTGTCCTTGAAAGTATTATAAGCTGTTTAATTTTCACACAAATTAGCTGTTCAGGAGGAACTTGTCAAATGGGTGCATCTCTTACCCCATGCCAGATGTTTTCTGCAGACATGCTTTCAAGACATTGTCTACAGCAATTGTGTAGCTGTCAAAACGAAACTACTATTCCTGAACTCTCTTTACACATCCCTCTTCCAGTATTTCATCATATACATCCCGTGTAAGTCTGTTTTTATTTTGTGGGCATTAGATGTATGTAAAATGGTAGTGCCTATGTTGTCCAGAAAAGACAAGAAACCTGTCACAACGACAAAAACCAGTCCCATAGTGACAGCAGCTGTTGGTTGCACAGGCTACTTGGTCTATAAATTGTTATTTCCAAACATTGGTCTGATTCAACAAAAACTTAAAAGGATGAAAGCCTCACAATGCATTATTTTCAATTAGCACATTTACCTGTAATTTTGAGCACATTGCATCAATATAATATTAAGACTTATAAAAGAAGGTTTAGAATCCATTGTATCTCATCAGCCATACTGAGATAGAAGGGCGAATGATGTAAATGTGTCTGTTTCCAAGTCAGAAAAGGCACTACAGGTAATTACTGAAAGCATATGGATTTTCTGATTCTCTTGAATGCAATAAAAAATAAGGAATCAACTCATTCAACATAATCATTATTCTTAGAATTTTCTTATGCTACTTTATTTTTGTATGCTATCCTCTCCTGCTGAAGGTGACTCTACCTGGCTTCAAGACAGGTGTAACCAGAAAAATTTTGAGATTTTTGATCATAGGTCAGTACACACAACACCAAGCCTGCTGGTAACAAATAATGTCCACCTGTCCCAAAGAATTTTATGTCAGGAGTTAGCAGAGCTTTAAACTGGATTTGAAGGGGAATGGGGACATAGCCAGGCTTTGCAGACATAAGATGTGGGAAAGAGAGAACAATAGCAACCACCTCAGTAAAAAAAAAAGGCGTGAGAGAAAGCATCTCAAAGCACAAGCAGCCAAAGACAGAGGCACAGGACAGGAATGTGGGGAATCCCTTTGCACCCCTGCTGGGATATTGGCTCAATCAAATATTTCCATAAAGTGTCTGTACACCAATGCTTGCAGCATGGAGGACAAACAGGAGGGACTAGAGATCTGTGTGCAGTCACAGGGCTTTGCTCTCACTGCTGTTACAGATGTGGTGGGATAGCTCCCATGACTGGAATATCATCAAGGGCTGCACAGTGCTTAGGACAGACCAGACAGGCACTGGGGTGGAGCTGCCCTCTGTGAGGCTACACTTGGAATGTGCAGGAATCAAGCTCTGTCTTTGGGTGGATAGTGAGCAAATCCAGTGTTTATGGGTTAGGATAAAAGGGCAGATTACCAGAAAGGATAGGTAGTTTTTTTCCTCTCTTTTAAACTGGTTGTTTGCTTGACGACTTGACAGTAATCAGTGTTGCCTTTGAATATCCAGGTTGTTAACCATTTTCCCTTTTGGTTTTGTGTGGTCCTTTGATATTACATTGAAGAAATTTTGATTGCGAGGAAAATGTGATTGTACTGATACAAAACCTGACCAGGGATTCAGGATGTAACAGCTTTTTAAGCAAGGTGTGCAATTGATGTTGCATCTTAGGTTTTTATATTAAATACTTAATCACAGCATGTAATTCTGTGACTTGATTTTTAGTAGCCTAGCTTTGGAGTTCAGGATGAAAAAGTCTATTGCTGTAATGATAATTTTGTAGGTTCTCATCAAAATGAAAGCTTGGTCTCATTATCCCATTGTTCTCCTTTTCTTTTTTTCTCCAAGCTGCCTGTCTCGTCCTGGGTTGTATGATTTTTCCTGATGGCTGGGATTCAGATGAGGTAAAACGGATGTGTGGTGAAAAGACAGACAAGTACACGCTGGGGGCTTGTTCAGTCCGCTGGGCGTATATCCTGGCAATTATTGGAATCTTGGATGCCCTGATCCTCTCATTTCTGGCTTTTGTGCTTGGAAACAGACAAGACAGCTTGCTAGCAGAGGAGCTCAAGTTGGAAAACAAAGGTAGGACTGCTTTGGAAACACTACTGTTGGGTGGCCTCAAGGGCAATTTCTTAAAAACAATAAACAGTCTCAACTTCATTTTATTTTATGCTTAAATGTTAGCATGCTGGCTTACTTCCTACATTACTGGGAAAGAATAAATGCAAGGGGCAGAGGAAGATATGCATTTCAGCCTCCAAAAATTTAAGAAAGCTCAAAATTGATGTAATTTCTGCACTGTGCATGAATTATATTTAGCTTTTAGATCTGTAGATTGGATATTACTGTGCTCCTCACTTGTACAGTATTTCATTAGCATTTAATTTTCACTGTCTCAATTTTTTTCTGTACCCCAAGCAAGATTTCTTCACTTGGTTCCTTTAGGATTTTGCAATGTAACGAGTGTCTGTAATATGGCATATGAGCACAGTACACAGTGAGGGGGCAGTGCTGGGGGCTGGCAATGAGCTGTGTAATGGGACTGCCCATACAGCAAGGAACTGGTGGGAAAAGGATCAGAGCCTGGAATGAAGAAGAATCCTAGTTCTTGCTTGACTGTGTTGCTTTGAGCTCCTGAGTCAGCTCATGGGAATCTAGGATGCTGTAGTAACTGAATACTCATGCAGTGCTTTGGGGATAAAACTCATTTCTAAATTAAGTACATGAAACTGGCTTGGACCAGTAATTTATCACACAGTTGCAAAAAGAGAGATGTTTTTCAGTAAATGTGCACAAGCCTGGCTTATTTCTGCAGCCCCTTCTCTTGTGCTCCCGCAGCATCCCAGCTGAGTATCTGATGTGATAGATACCACAGAGGGCATGTCCCTGCCTTATCTTTTTAATGGGCCTGTTGTCCCTGAATCTATCTAATCCCTTCTAAACCTGCTGATACTGTCAGCTTCTCCAGCACTGCATGGCAGCAAATTCCTGAAGCTCACTACTGACTGCTAAAGAAGTACTTTCTTTTATCTGCTTCAAATTGATCCCCTGCTAGTTTCACTGACTGTCCCCAAGAGCAGGATTCTGCGTTCAGCTCATCTACCACCTTTGTAATTTTGTGGGCTGCTTCTAATAATAGCAAAGATATCAGGAGCTTTTCAACACCAGATTGCTGTTTGGCAGCCTGTGTTGTGTGAAAATAGCTGGTCTCAGTCCTGCTCCAAAAAGACCATCACCTGTATACCTGGCAGCACACCTGACCCCTGCTTGCTGGATTGCAGCCAGCACACTCAGCCCAAAGATAAATGGACTTGAAGATTGAATATCATATATGATTCCAGAGCTGGGTGGAGCCTACTAATGTTGTGAGTGAAGGAAAGTGTGTGTCACTTGCAATTGCATGTGTGCATCTGTCCTGCAGGTAAACTGAGGGCATCAGCTTCAAGGACTATCCCTGTGACCCTTTCCTGTAAGGATAATATTCTTCTGCATTTGAAAATCCAAATGCTTATCACAAGGGCATTCACAGCTATGCCACAAGTGCTTTTGGCATCACCACTATGTCTGATTTGTCTATACCATACAGAGCTCATGTACCCAACACTACTTGTATCAAAGAAATGCATCTGTTTTGGCACTGTGTGAGCAACAAACAGCTTCTGGAGCCTCATCACCTCTCACATCGCTGGCACAAACCCCTGCCAGAACATTTGGTCCTCAGCATGTCAGAAAAAATCATTCAGCAGCTCAATTTCCTTGGATTAAACACAGAAACATACCACACCACTGGCTTCAAAACAAACCAGAACTCAACAAAAAAGGACCTACCCCACTTTGCCCTTCACAATCAAGCCTAATGATCACCACTTTTTAAACTGTCTTTCAAATTAAGTGAAAAAGAGTCAACTTGACTTCTAAAAAGGACATTCTCTCTCCTCTTGTCACAAAAAGCTTCTGCTAAGCAACAACAGGGCAAGTCTATATCTCCCTGAGCCCCCTAGCATTTACCCACCTGCTTGTGTTGCCACCAGGCACAGCTTCAGCCCCGAGGAAACCCAGCAGAACACAGCAGTGGATTGATCTGTACCCTGTGCACTGAACATACTGAGTGCTTTGACATTTACCCCATAAACTAAGTCTCCTTGCCCCCGTTCAGATTAGGAGATACTGGAGAACTACTCATCAGCATTAGTTCCCATGCAGAGTATCCATGGATCTCTTGGAAATGGTCAGGATGTGAAAATACTGCTACATGCAAATAGCACTAGTATATCTCCCATATAAACAAAAAGATAAGAGTATGGATATAGACAGCACTCAGTTTTCCAAGCTGCTCCTACAATGTGAAGTCAAGGCCCTTATAACAAGTAACCATGAGTATTAAATTACCCTCCCATCCTTTCTTCCCCCTCCTCATATACATGAGATTTGTCTTCAGGCTTGAGCTGGCTTCTGCTTCTGGATTAGAAAGTATGGATGAGGAATGTCCCTTTCTCAGGGAGGAACCCCTGTGCTGCTGCTGCTGCTGCCTTCCAAGGGACAAAACCTATTTCTGGGTGGTCATGGCTGTCCCTTGGATGGGATCCAAGTGACTCCTTCCCCCTTTTGGTGGTATTGGCCTGGACATCCCATAATCTATGATAAGAAAAGGATCCCCTTAAGGGACAGTTGTGGTTCCATCATGACTTAACAGGAGAAGGCACCTAGAGAGCAATCAACACTGTACCTGAGAGGAGCCTCTGTTTGCCCTGACAGCTCATCCTCTGCTGCTGGGACTTTGCCCCATGCATGTGGGTGACACAATGCATTAGCTCAGCAGTGGGTAAGACACAATAAATTAAGTATGAGAATCACAACAGTGCTCACTTATGTGGAAAAAAAACTTCAAGAGCAAGAAATTATTAGGCAATGATCAGACATCTGAGCAGTTGTTTTCTTAATCGGGCAGTTTTGTCTGGAGGCTTTGATGCAGATCAGGTCCTACAGGCTCATTAATGAGAGTCTATGGTAGCTGAGCAAGTACCTGTTGCCATAGACGTTTGAGCATTGTTGGCAAGGAAACAGTTAAATGCATATGAAACACAACAGGCTGGTAGAAAATGTGAGGAGAAGAAAAAGCTGTACTTCTGTGTAGTTTCCATTACCATGCTGAATTGTCCACCTGCTCCGTTTTTTTGATGCCTACGGTTCTGCATATTTACATAGGTTAAAGAATGCTTGTAAATAAGGAATTTGACTGTTGAAATTATTCATGGCAGAAGATGGCTGTGGTTTAGCTATAAATGAAAGTTTCTTTTTTCACTACATGATAAAAGTAGTGCTTGCTCATGTCTTATTTGCTTAGGTGTGAGAACAAACTACCATGTGGCCTTCACGTTTCAGAACTGTAACAAGTTTGGCAGAGTTTCTTCAGCTTATAGTCTCTTTAATGCAGTTTCCTAATATTACAAATTTTACACACTAGTTCATAAGGTTTTTTTATTTTAAAAACTGTCATTTGAAGGGAAGAAAAGATATTTACAAGAAGACTTTCCTGTCATCTTTATGTCATTAGCAAAGGAGGGGAGAGAACCGTATTGCAAGGTTTTCTTTAGGAACTAATGGTAATGACTTAAAGGCCTACATGTCATTAAAGTTATGTCATAAAGGGCACTAACAAAAATAATCAGAATTCCTCTTAGCTTTAAGCTGCCTCAACACCATTTTGGGTGAGCCATCAACATGAGGCATAAACCTTGATATGTTGTGTAATTATATGATTTAACATTTTGAACTGTAATGTCTTAATGACATAAAATTTAAGTTTTAGCCAGAGGTAGACAAGACCAAATTAGAAGTTTCCAAAGAAATTGAGAGTGGAAGGCAACTATGTTTATGGTAGAAAGTGGTAATATGGTCTGCACTATGAGTGATAAATACAAGAGCATTCAGAAGATTTTATCCTGTTCAGTAGGACCAGTCAGGGTAGGTGGAAGATGCACTTCGTGAACAGTTGTGGCTTTTCCCATGGACAGAACAGCTTCACAAGCTGTTTATGTTTAACATTTGACTCATGTTTGGGGCCCACGTAAGCAATATAAGCAATGGGTCACAAATTAGCAATTTGCATTATAGATTTCCTGGAGCTACAAGCCTAGAGGTAAAATAGGTAAAAGGAGCTGGGAGATAGAATATTTGAAGGATTTGTCTGCCTTCCAGTGATTGTAACTCACATGGACTCAAAGTACACCCTCTGCTCCCAACAGCCACGTTGCAGAGAGCTCAGTGCAGGATGCCCAACCCAGAACTTGCCACTGGTTCTTTACACCCTCCTTACTCTCCAGGTTGTTGAGGGTTGGCTCCACACATCTGAGCTGCAGTCAAAGCAGAGTAAACATGCTTAATGACAGAGAATAAGGGAATATTGTTTCTTGGTGATAAAGCAGCTTTCAGTAAAAGAAAAAAAAGTAGTGTTGCAAGGAGATTTGCATACCTTTAGCTAGAGAATCATCCTCTCCAAACAGGAATAGGCTACCCATGGGATCACTGCTGCAACAGGAAACCTTCTGCAAAAGCTGTATCTGAAGCTGAGTGACAGGAGATCACCTGCCCTAAGGAGGGATGACAGGACAGAATGCTCATCAGCTGCCATCCTTCAAAAGGAAAATAGCCCAGGATGCAGTAAACATGCAAATTGCTGCAAAATTGCAAAGCTCCACTGCTTTGGTTTGAAAGACAGGTGTTTGCTAAGGAAGGTAGGAGCCTCTCGTGGAATGGAAAATGTAAACCTCTTCTTTCTAAATTATTATAATTTTGAAATTTTTGAAATTTTTGAAATTTTTGAAATTTTTGAAATTAAGGGGCTATTTACAGAGAGCCTACCACTTTCAAAGATACAAGAATAGGAATAACAGTTTTTTACTAATATATATAAATAAAAAACCCCTATAACTGAATAGGAAAAACAAATATAAAATGTAGCAGTACAAAGACACTGGCAGAGTCAGAATCTCACCTGACACCCTGTCAGTGTTGGTAGCAGTCTGACTAAATGGTGGCTGCAGCTTTTTTGGAGTGACAGATGT